AGTGTCAAATTTCATCCAATTTGGACAAATATTAGACGTTTGGTGCACAATAAAAAGTAAATCGGACGAAGTTATATATGGGAGCTATATCCAAATCTGAACCGATCTCGATAAAATTTAGCAAATGTATTTCTGAGCTGTATTTGATATATTTCCCCAAATATTGTTGTTACAGAGTGCATATTACGGCTGCCGAGGACAAAAATAACAAATCGGATGAACACTATATGGGACCTATAGCTATATCTGAACCGATCTTCACCAAATTTGACATATTAGCTTCTAGACTCAATTCGGTAGTAAGTGCCAAATTTCATCCAATTTGGGCAAATATTAGATGTTTGGTGCACAATCAGAGGTAAATCCGACGAAGTTATATATGGGAGCTATATCCAAATCTGAACCGATCTCGATAAAATTTAGCAAAGGTATTTCTGAGTTGTATTTGATATATTTCCCCAAATATTGTTGTTACAGAGTGCATATTACGGCTGCGGAGGACAAAAATAACAAATCGGATGAACAATATACATTGGAGCTATAGCTATATCTGAACCGATTTCAATCAAATTTAGCATACTTATTTTCAGGCCTAATTTGGTTGTATGTGCTAAATTCCATGCTATTCGGACTGATATTACACGTTTGGTGCACAATAAAAGGCAAATCGGACGAAGATATATATGGGAGCTATATCTAAATTTTGACCGATTATCTCCAATTTCAAGAGGGTTCGTCCTTGGGCCAAACAAATGATTTGTGCAAAATTTCATCTGGATCGAGCAATAAATGCGAACTGTACTTTGTTTACAAAAATACATGGACAGACGGACGGACGGACCTGCATAAATCGACTCAGAATGTGATTCTATGCAGATCATCAAAAGGAACTATGGGTCTATTTCGTTTTCTTTTGCCTGTTACAAACAAATGCACAAAGACATAATATCCTGACCACCTTGTGGTGTAGGGTATAAAAAACTGTATCTGGATACTTGTATAAGTTTTTTTGTTTGCTTATAAAAGACCCTCTTAAGGATGTGGTAATTATAAAAGGCCTGTAAAAACTCTTATGGAAATAGAAGACCTGTAAAAGACAGTCCATTCGTAAAAGACAGTCCATTCCTATTATAGGGCACCTATCCAAACAAACCACTAAAAATCTCTCTTATCTTTAGAAGACCTCAGAGATGTCTTCTATTCATTGATGAAGAAAACCTACGAAAGTTACTATATTCATGGAAGACGTACAAAAGCTATTCTGTATACCAATATTGCTATAACAGTTATCCACAGAAAAGATATAAGGGGTCCCCTATTCACAGAATAACTGAATAACTTCTGATATCCACAGAAGATGCAAAAAATCATTTTATATATGTAAGACATGTAAAAGCTTTTTTATATCTGATTCTATGATTCTAGAATACCTCCAAAAGGTATTCTTAAAATGAGAAAAGTATCTTCTTTCCATAGGTAACTCCTAAAAGCTCCTCTATCTATAGAAGACTTTCAACAGTCATTCTTTTATATCTTCAACATTGAAAATGATGTCCATTTGTCTGTCTGTTGAAATCACGACGTAGAGCAAAACCAGTTTGTATTGTATCTAGGAAGGTTGGTATTGAAAATGACATATATCAATCCACGTTTTGGAATAGCCGCCATATAACGGTACCTTCCAATATTCGGTATTTTGACAATTTGCGCCACATTTTTTCACGGATTTGTCTAAAAATTAGTATTTGTAGGTCATAATGGGTTCTAGCTCCGCTAGCGAAAACTTGTATGTATAGGCCCATGGTTTTGTGTAGCCCCCCACCCCCCCCGGTAGTCGGTGTTTTAATGATTTTTGCCACATTTTTTCTATAAATTTATCTAAAAGTTGGTATTTGTAGTTCATAATGTGTCCAAATAATGTGGCGGAACATAGTATTTATAGGTCCACGCTTTTATATAGCGCTCATATAACGATAGCCACCGATACTCGGTATTTTGATAATCCTAGTCACATTTACCCACGAAATTGTTTCAAATTTAGTATTTAAGGACATTTGGTCGATGACAATACTTGAAGTATAAAATTGTCTATGGAGGTTCCCGTTTTGGTATGACCTCACCCACTTTATGGTTTTTCGATCAGTTTAACGGCATTGTCCAAACGGTCTTACTGGTATTTGAAGGTTAAAGTGGATAACGTTGGAATTCAGATATTTATACCCTACAACGCTATGTGTTGGGGATATTATAAGCTTGATTGGGCCAAAAATTATGTAAAACCTCGGAATATTGGTTTCTCACATATATGGATCTTCCTATCTGGCCGAACCGAGTCGATCTAGCAATGTGTCCGTCCGTCCGTTTGTCCATGTTATGGGTCGCGCTATAGTTCTCAATTATGCCCCGATTCTCATGGATTTGGCCGATTTGCATGGAAGTGGAGTTATGGTCAGAATAGAAACCTATTGCTTTTAGAGATGATCGCATAATATTTAGGGGATGAAATATAGCGAAATATATGCAATGTGTGCATATATACAAAGGAAAGGGATGTTAGCTAGAATGCTTATATCTCAAGAATGCCTGGACCGATTTTAACAAATTTTGTCAATTAATGCCCTCTAGGCCTATGGAAACCAAAGGACACGAGATCTTTAGGATAGCGGGTAGAATGGACCACTACTTTTGTGTGAAAAAATACCAACATATCCATTCTACCAAAACGCTTAACATAACTTACAGGCGAAATCCAAAATACACAAAAAGGCGTACTTCTGGCTTTTTATGCCGATTTCGTTGACGAATATAGCCAAATATCGTAGACAAGCAAATCATATAGATGAGTCTACATTTGGAGATACAAAGGGGCCTCTTGCATTTGAAGATGATCGCAAAATATTTAGGGGTTCAAATTAACCAAAAACAGAAAATTTTTCCTGGTCACACAATTGAAACCAACCGACACAGAATTTTGCATGAGAAGAGAGTTAAAGACAGGGAAGAAGTCTACAATTTTGGATGACCATTGGATTATATTTAGCTGTAAAATGGACCACATCAACCAACAGAACGACGGAGTGTGTAAATGTCCCTTATCAATATCCCTGGGTAATATCTGCACAGTGCGCTATGACATAATTTCAAAAGCGAAATCTTCCAAAATGAATTTGGACCTAAGGGGACATCTACCATATTGTAGTGTTGTAGGGTATCACATGGTCGGCCCCGAAAGACTATAGTATTGCTTACTTGTTATACCCTACACCACAAGGTGGTCAGGGTATCATGTCTTTCTGCATTTGTTTGTAACAGGCAAAAGGAAACGAGATAGACCCATAGTTTCTTTTGATAGAATCACATTCTGGGTCGATTTATGCATGTCCGTCCGCCCGTCTGTCCGTGTAGTTTTGTAAACAAAGTACAGTTCGCATTTATTGCCCGATCCAGATGAAATTTTGCACAAATCATTTGTTTGGCCCAAGGACGAACCCTATTGAAATTGGAGATAATCGGTAAAAGTTTAGATATAGCTCCCATCTATATCTTCGTCCTATTTGCCTTTTATTGTGCACCAAACGTGTAATATCGGACCGAACAGTATGGAATTTTGCATATACAACCAAATTAGGCCTGAAAATAAGTATAGCAAATTTGATCGAAATCGGTTCAGATATAGCTATAGCTCTCATATATATTGTTCATCCGATTTGTTACTTTTGTCCTTCGCAGCCGTAATATGCACTCTGTAATAACAATATTTGAGGAAAAATATCAAATACAGCTCAGAAATACCTATGCTAAATTTTAGCGAGATCGGTTCCGATTTGGATATAGCTCCCATATATATCTTCATCCGATTTACTTTTTATTGTGCACCAAACGTTTAATATTTACCCAAATGGGATGGAATTTGGCACTTACGACCGAATTGAATCTAGAAGCTAGTATGTCAAATTTGGTGAAGATCGGTTCAGATATAGCTATAGCTCCCATATATAGTGTTCATCCGATTTGTTATATTTGTTACCCACAGCCGTAATATGCACTCCGTAACAATGATATTCAGGGATATATATCAAATACAGCTATATAAATACAGCAATATCTTTGCCAAATTTCATCGAGATGGGTTCCAATTTGGATATAGCTTCCATATATATTTTTATCCGATTTCAAATTAATTGTGCACCAAATGGACAATACAAGTCCGAATTTAAAAGATACAAATGCTTCGGCATATTTGAACTTTAAATTATAATTATAGCGTGTATGATTGAATTCTCCCATAAAAACTTTTGTTATGTGGAGGTTTACCAAATTAGAAAGGTGGTGTAGGGTATCATATAGTCGATCCCGCCCGACTTGGAGACTTTCTTTACTGGTTTTATATAAAAATTTTTTTCATATATCTTCAAACGCCCCATGGGACGCTCTTAAATTTCTTTATGTGTACCATACGATCTATTCGATGGGAGGGTATCATGAATCTTCAAACTTTGGCTTGTGTTGTCTCCCCACACTCTGGCTAATATTGAACTACCACTCTTCCTTTGGCATTAACTTACAACAATAATATTTACTTGAATGGTCAAAAACAGACATCCCCAGCCATGATATCTGCAAGAACAGGGTATTCTTCAGTGGGTTATTTTGGCATTGCTTTGTGGCCACAAGTAGCAAGGTATAAATCTAAATGCTATGGAAACATTTGCAAGATTCAACAGCAAACATGCAATTGCAAATTGTTTTCGTTCCGCAATGACCTTCGTGGTAATACACTGTGATGGGCTATTGTCTGAGTGTGTTGTGAATTGATTTTCCAATATATATTTAAAGACAGCCTCAAACACTACCACAGATGTCCGCAGCAGACACCTGTCTTGCGAAATAAATTATAAACGCCTCTATTAAATTTTTTTAGTATTTCAAAATAATTTTATTTCGTTTGTAAAATTTCTAGAATTTTTATATATGAAATTAAAATTTTTTGAACAGATGGAACATATATCTGTAACTAAATAAGTAATTGTACCTTTTTATATTCGGTGTTTTTTTAAGTAAAAAAATCAATTTTTAAATTTCACAATTTTATTATTTTTTTAGAGTTGCAGAATCTAATAAAAATGTAAAAAAAAAAATAATATTTCTATCTTCTAGGTTACACTTGATTTTAATTAAATAAATTCCCATATTTCTTTCATTTCTTGCCCTTGCCTTTCTTTCCCTTTTTCTTGCCCTTACATATGCCCGACAAGGCTGCATCCAATTCAACCTCATCGATTTGGGTCTCTGTCGTCACGCGTCGAACTGGCAATACAATTGGCTGTTTCGGTGTCTTCAATTCAATTTCGATGTTATTCCGTTTGTGTTGGCATTTCTGTTTGCTACCCAACTTCACCAAAAAGACGTCAGTGTCTGTTTCATCGCAGGTCTTGTAGCAAACCTATAGAAACAAAACAAAATGAATCAAAATTGAATTAAAAACCAGTAAAGAAAGTCTTAAAGTCGGGCGGGGCCGACTTTATGATACCCTACACCACTTTGCTAATTAAGTAGAGCTCCACATAATAATAAAAAGTTTTTATGGGAGAATTCAATCATACAAGCTATGATTATAATTATAATTTAAAGTTCAAACTACTAAATATGGCGAAGCATTTGTATCTTTTAAAATCGGAATTGTATTGCCCATTTGGTGCACAATTAATTTGAAATCGGATAAAGATATATATGGGAGCTATATCCAAATCTGAACCGATCTCGATAAAATTTGGCAAAGATATTTCTGAGCTGTATTTGATATATTTCCCTGAATATCGTTGTTACGGAGTGCATATTACGGCTGTGGGTAACAAATATGACAAATCGGATGAATAGTATATATGGGAGCTATAGCTATATCTGAACCGATCTTCAGCAAATTTGACATACTAGCTTCTAGACTCAATTCGGTCATATGTGCCAAATTCCATCCCATTTGGACAAATATTAGACGTTTGGTGCACAATAAAATGTAAATCGGACGAAGTTATATATGGGAGCTATATCCAAATCTGAACCGATCTCGATAAAATGTAGCAAATGTATTTCTGAGCTGTATTTGATATATTTCCCCAAATATTGTTGTTGCATAGTGCATATTACGGCGGCGGTGAACAAAAATAACAAATCGGATGTACAATATATATGGGAGCTATAGCTATATCTGAACCGATTTCGATCAAATTTGGCATACATATTTTCAGGCCTAATTTGGATGCATATGCAAAATTCCATACAATTCGGGCTGATATTACACGTTTGGTGCACAATAAAAGGCAAATCGGACGAAGATATATATGGGAGCTATATCTAAATTTTGACCGATTATCTCCAATTTCAATAGGGTTCGTCCTTGGGCCAAACAAAAGATCTTTGCAAAATTTCATCTGGATCGGGCAATAAATGCGACCTGTACTTTGTTTACAAAAATACATGGACAGACGGACAGACGGACGGACGGACGGACGGACGGACGGACAGACGGACGGACGGACATGCATAAATCGACTCAGAATGTGATTCTATGCAGATCATCAAAAGGAACTATGGGTCTATCTCGTTTCCTTCTGCCTGTTACAAACAAATGCACAAACACATAATACCCTGACCACCTTGTGGTGTAGGGTATAAAAACGCATTCACTTTTCAATTATAGATTTAAATTGGCTTTGTTGGTTCAGATCAGTCTCAACATCGAACGTCTCCTACCAATAAATCACTCACTTAAAATGTTAAATCAAATCTAATGCCTATCATAAATCAAAATTATCACGCTTTTTACAGCAGATTGATGATGATCGACATTTGCCATAATTTGTATAATTTTGAGATGTGGCCTCTATTAGAGCTAAATAAGATTAATATAAATCATTGCAACACAGTATGGGATGGAATTCTTTGTTTTCGTTTTTTGTTTTCGGTTTAAAATCCTGAAACGTCAATTTAGGGGAATGGACATTTCAAATCAGAGTGAGGGAGATACTAGGTCAGTACAGCACAAAAACGAACAAAGTTTGGGTCCAAAGATTATACAAATAAATGTAGGAGCTCTATGTGGCGAATATGCCATTACAAGGTACCATAACGAGGTAGATCAGCCTCGTAAAATTACAGAATACAGCTCTGAGGTTATGACCGAATCCTGTCAGAATTATTTAAAATTATATGCAACAGGTTGTTTTCATTCATTTCATATTTTCCTTCATTTTTAAAATGAGGTAAATAGCGCTAAAGACGAATAAAATACCGAAAAATTATGTTACTTTCAGATATTAATTCGAAAAACGGCAAAAAAAATTAATCTCAAAAATTTTGAAATTTTTCTGTTTTTTTTTTTTTTTTTTTCTATACCTTTAGCCATATGGCTACAGAGAGTACAGGGTTGCCCATATTCGACGGACCCATGTTTTTTTTTAAATCAAAGAAAAAAACAAGTAAGCAAAGGCTACAGTCGAGTGGGGCCGACCGTTGAATACCCTACAACACTATTATAAACCATACAGTTTATATAGACGAGATACTCGAAAGAACTCCACAAGATATTGTGACAAATAATAAAAGAAAACCATCAGTTCGTTCTCTAATTTTCGGATAATAGCAACTTAAACGAATTTGCTCATTTCCAATTTATTGGTAGATGTCGCTGGAATAGACATTTTCGTATTTACTCTACAAAAGTTGGCAAACTATTGCACACATTGAATATTTTTGGATGGCCAGCCGAAACTGCTTGGCCTTTGCAATGTGCGGTAACCCCCATTCAAATGTGCCTGAGGATCGGGCGATAATTGCGACCTGCTGGCAATTTTATCAGTTTTTTGGTCCATTTCAACCCCTAAATATATAGCGATCATCTCCAAAAAGAGTAGGCTTCTATTCTGACCCTCATCTTATCTCCATGCAAAATTTCGTAAGGATCGGGCCATAAATGCGATCTGTATATGATATCCTACTACTTAGTTTTGTTAGCTGTAGAAATATTACCAAATGTTTAATTCAAAATGAAAATATGCCAAAAATGAAAAAATATGAGAAAATTTTACAAAATCAATATTTTCATCTTTAGAGAGATATTTTTATGCGATTTTTTCAGACGTTTTTTCTTTCCTGCCAAGAGGCCATTCTGAATTAATGAGAACTGTCGAAATTAGTTCAGCCGTTCTCGACATATAAGAGATTTTTCAAGCATATCTTCTTTGATACACATATATGTCGCACATATTTTGCTATATATCCGTTTTGTTGGATGTTAACATCAATGTAAAAGTCAGAAGTAACCTTGTGATGGCTTTGTGATTTCGCCGGGATTTAAAATATTCACGGTTTAATGAAAATTTTTGAATTTTTTCAACACAAAATGGTCTATTTTACCCGCTAAATATTATCCGATGACCACCCAAATTGGTAGGCTTCTTCCCCGCCCTAAACTCTAGCTACATGCGAAATTCCGCGTCGATTGGTCTATAATTGCGACCTGTAGAGCAAGTGCAAAATCAGGATTTTTTCAGTTTTTGGTCCATTTCAACCCCTAAATATTATGCGATCATCACCAAAAGAAATAGGGTTCTATTCTGACTCTAGCCCCACCTCCATTTTAAATTTCGTGAAGATCGGACCATAATTGCGACCTGTAGAGTGATTACAAATTAACATGGACAGACGGACAGACGGACAGACGGACGGACGGACATACATAGCTAGATCGACTCAGCTCGGCGAGCTAGGAAGATCCATATATACTTTCCTATATGGGAAACCAATATTTCGAGGTGTTACATAAATTCTGGCCCAATCAAACTTATAATACCCCCAACACATAGTGTTGTAGGGTATAAATATATCGAGGAGAATATTGGTAAAACGATAGCACATTCACCCACATTCAATGTTTTCTATTCAAAACTATTTCAACGCCCATATGTGAAACCTAGAATTCAACCGTGACCTTAATATCAAATTTCAGCATTCCAGCTCTAATCCTTTACCTAATTCCACATTAAGTAACCTAGATTTAAATCAAAATCTCTACATCCTAGACACCAAATTCAGTACCATATTGCAATTTCGTACAATTATAGTACACATTTACAAAACCACCTCCACACTTCAATTCCAGATACCAACGGAGACCTCAATATCAAATTTGAAGATTTCAGCCCTATCCCTTCACCCAATACCAAATTTAGTACAATTTGGAACTTTTCGTAATAATAGACAATTACAAACTATTCAAAACCTCCGACAAATCTCAAACATAGATACCATCAGTAATCTAAATATCAAATTTCAGAATTTTTCTCTGTCCCTTCACCCAATACAAAATTTAGTACCATTCAGTGTTTTTCGTACAATTATGGCACACATTTCCAAAACCACCTCCATCTGTCTAGGCTACACATAAATAGCGACCCTAATAGCAATTTTCAGATCTCAAACACTCTCAGTTCACCCAATACCAAATTGTACCAAATATAGAGGACTAGAAACTTGGATTTTTTTAAAGAATTTTTAAAGGACATTTAAAGGACTATAGACGTGGGTTTTTTAAAGAATTTTTAAAGGACTATAGACGTGGGTTTTTTAAAGAATTTTTAAAGGACTATAGACGTGGATTTTTGAAGAATTTTTAAAGGACTATAGACGTGGGGTTTTAAAGAATTTTTAAAGGGCTATAGACGTGGATTTTTTAAAGAATTTTTAAAGGACTATAGACGTGGGGTTTTAAAGAATTTTTAAAGGGCTATAGACGTGGATTTTTTAAAGAATTTTTAAAGGACTATAGACGTGGGTTTTTTAAAGAATTTTTGAAGGACTATAGACGTGGATTTTTTAAAGAATTTTTGAAGGACTATAGACGTGGATTTTTTAAAGAATTTTTAAAGGACTATAGACGTGGGTTTTTTAAAGAATTTTTGAAGGACTATAAACGTGGATTTTTTAAAGAATTTTTAAAGGGCTATAGACGTGGGTTTTTTAAAGAATTTTTGAAGGACTATAAACGTGGATTTTTTAAAGAATTTTTAAAGGGCTATAGACGTGGGTTTTTTAAAGAATTTTTGAAGGACTATAGACGCGGATTTTTTAAAGAATTTTTAAAGGACTATAGACGTGGGTTTTTTAAAGAATTTTCGAAGGACTATAGACGTGGGTTTTTTAAAGAATTTTTAAAGGACTATAGACGTGGATTTTTTAAAGAATTTTTAAAGGACTATAGACGTGGGTTTTTTAAAGAATTTTTAAAGGACTATAGACGTGGGTTTTTTAAAGAATTTTTAAAGGATTATAGACGTGGGTTTTTTAAAGAATTTTTAAAGGACTATAGACGTGGGTTTTTTAAAGGACCATAAACCATAAATCTGCCAAGCAGCTTTATGAGTAAGTTCACAATAAAAAAATTGACTTACGCTATCTCCGGCAACTCCAGTGGGTTGCTGAAATCTCTAAGAGCTTTTCTCGTCACCTCTTCTGAGCGTTCTTCGTCCAACAACACAAAAACTACCACTGCTGATGCCATCTTACTTTATTTATAGCGACTTAGCTGTTTCGAACATCGGTTTTATTTACATTCGAAATTGACAAAACCAACTTGGCAAAATACCGAATATCGGGAGGTATCATTATATGGGGGCTATACGAAGACGTGGACCTGCACAGACAAATTTCCGTCTTAGGCTGTAGTATTCATTTCGTTCGGCCGGGCCGAAGTTTGAATACCCTCCACCATTCCGATAAGCCATTACAATATTCAAATGCGAAAATTAAAAAAATCGGTAATAATGTAGCTAAAATCAAAATATCGAATATCGGGAGATACCGTTATATGGGGACTATACGAAGACGTGGACCTGCACGTAGATCTGTCTTAGGCTGTAGTATCCATTACGAACTTCAAATACCAAATTTGAAACAATTCCGGTGAATAATGTCGCTAAAATCATCAAAATACCGAAAATACCAAATTTGAAAGAATTCCGATGAATATTGTCGCTAAAATCGTCAAAATACCGAATATCGGGAGGTACCTTTCTATGGGGGCTATACCGAAACGTGGACCTACATGGCCCATTTACAATACCAAAAGTCCTGCAGACATAATATACATTTGAGTAAAATTTTATCAATCTACTTCAATTCTTTCGGAAGCTAGAGTGATTTCCACAGACGGACAACCGGACGGACAGATGGACGGACATCGCTAAATCGACATAGAATTCTATGCTGATCAAGAATATATATACTTTGTAGGGTCTAAAATGTATATTTCGAGGTTTTACAAACGGAATGACAAATTTAATATACCCTCCATACTATGGTGGAGGGTATAATAAAGATGTGCAAAGTTTGAACGAAATAGAAAACCGCCATTGGTAAATGTATCTCTTAGAAAATGGAAAAGGCCGATATTGTCAATCTCCAATCTTGATCTTAAAGAAATTTTACGATGCAACAAATTTGGACGTAATCAGATACTCCTTTCTATAGTTATCTTGCGAAAAGAGACACAGTAAGATTATTTGCCATTTGTTCCCAAATGTCCTAAATCGGATCGTTATTGCGTACCCTTTAGGCGACCCTCCCCCTGTCATCTAAATTTCCATCTCTAGCCACAAGGCTAAACTTTCTCCATATTTTGTTGTCCACAATAATTTTTAGTTTCATAAAATGTTCTCCCAAAAAAAATCTTACCTCAATACCCTTTTTACGCATATCATAATCGATGCCCTTCATGGCATTTCGTATATCATCACGATCCACTTGGACACAGCAGTTTTTATTATCATTCGGATGCAAAGGAGGGCATATGGTGCCACAATCTCCGCCGCCACCACGACTGCGACGGCTACGATAACTTTCAATTTTATTCTGTTGATCATTGCAGAATTGTTTTATTTTCGAATATGGCACATGATAGCTCTCGCCCGGACAGCATTCATCATTGCCCGAGTACTTGATGTTGGCACGTATTTTTGGTAATTTCGGATGATTGATGATGTGGCCGCCGGTGCGACGTTTAATATGATTGCGAGCAAATGAGCTGTGTTCCAGCAGTTTATCCACATCACAAGAAGCTTTGGGCTGAGTGAACCAAAACGGAAAAGGCGCATATACAATATGTATGGTCGAATAATGATAAACATCCATACCTTTTCACAATCATCACTTGAATGGTCATCTTGAAAATTTTCGGTGCCATCGCAAATATTCTCAACACAATGGGTATCTTTGAGGACACGTATTACCAAACCACTGCCATTGAGACATGCCTCAAACTCATCATAGGCATCTGGTCCTGGTTCCGGTTTTCGTGGTGTCACAAAACATGGTGGCATGCAAACGTTGCAGGGATCGCAGGGATCTTTAGCAGCGGCATCACCTGAAAAAAATTGTAAATTTATTGTTTGTTTTATTAAAACAGATGTTATGGAACATACCCTTCTGTCGGATAGTGTAACCCAGAATAAACAGAAAATTTAAATTATCTATTGCAAAATTTTGAATTGTTTTATTGATAATTTTGATATTTGTCCTAAATATTTTACATTGATTTTTTTTACTAAATTTCGCCACTATATTTTTGTAATAAATAGCGCAGTTTCCTCAAAGCTTTCGATTTGGCTGCAAAAATGAAAAGGGACATTAATTAGAAAATGTGTATTTGGAAAAAAATTGGATTCCTTAATTATGATTTTTTGACATTTGGACTCAAATTTATTTTTAAAATATCCACGCCTCTATCCCAATTAGAGTTTGAAAAATATTTTTAATAAATTAAAATATATATTTTTTAATTCCACGTTTTGAGAAATATTTTTTAATTCAACGATTTGAAAAATATTTTTTAATTCAACGATTTGAAAAATATTTTTAAAAAATCCACGATTTGAAAAATATTTTTAAAAAATCCACGATTTGAAAAATATTTTTAAAAAATCCACGATTTGAAAAACATTTTTAAAAAATCCACTCTTTGAAAAACATTTGTAAAAAATCCACGATTTGAAAAATATTTGTAAAATATCCACGATTTGAAAAATATTTAAAAAAATCCACTCTTTGAAAAATATTTTTAAAAAATCTACGCTTTGAAAAATATTTTTAAAAAATCCACGCTTTGAAAAATATTTAAAAAAATCCACTCTTTGAAAAATATTTTTAAAAAATCTACGCTTTGAAAAATATTTTTAAAAAAAAATCCACGCTTTGAATTATATTTAAAAAAATCCACTCTTTGAAAATTATTTTTAAAAAATCTACGCTTTGAAAAATATTTTTAAAAAATCCACGCTTTGAAAAATGTCGCTAATATCATCAAAATGCCGAATATCGGGAGGTACCGTTATATGGGAGTTATATGAAGACGTGGACATGCACAGACAATTTTCTGTCACAGGCTGTAGTATCCATTACGAACTTCAAATACCAAATTTGAAACACTTACGGTGAATAATGTCGCCAAAATCATCAAATTACCGAATATTCGGTGGGGGCTATATGAAACCGTGGACCTTCATGGTACCGTCATATTGGGGCTATATGCCATTTTACGAACTTAACCTGCCTACTGCAAAATAAACAATTCTAGCCTCTCAATTCGTTCGAAAGATAGCGTGATTACAATAGACAGACGGACAACGCTAAATCGACATAGAATTTTATGCTGATCATGAATATATATACTTTGTGGGGTCTAAAATGTATATGTCGAGGTGTTACAAACGGAATGACAAAGTTAATATACCCTCCATACTATGATGGAGGGTATAAAAAAAATGCCAAAGCTTCACAAAGGTAAGATAAAAATCTTCGCTTTAGCATTCCGTTTTTGAAAAATACACACTTCCAGTTCTAATGGATGTCCATTCCAAAAAAAATATGTTCTGAAAATCCCCCAATTCAGAAGGGTACCGTTCACTACGAAAACGAAATTACTCACCTGCTTCACAGGCATTCGCACATTCGTCGCAGGAACAATCATCGCCTTTTGAAGGACTATTACAACCACCTCTATTGGCCATTGATTCTTTAGGCCTCTTTGAAGGTCCACACGATCCACTACAATTTTGAAGATGACATTTTTGTTCCTTACATATGGGAGCTATTGAAATACATCATTAAATTCCTTTCTCCCAAAATAGAAATACGTATAAAAATTGCTTACCTCTGGCACATTCATCTTCCACCTCATCGCATGGACATCCTTTGTCGGTGTTACAGGCAAAATAACGTTGACAAATTTGCTTCTTCTCGGGAGTGAAACAAGGATCATCCAAAGCTGGACAACCATTACAGGGTTGACTTTGACGTCTCCTACTTGGTTTGGCACAAGCCCTATCAGTCTCTTCCAACTCATTGGTATCATCACCACCCTCATAACGAGAAGTTTCTGGGTAGCTACTACCGTCCGTAGCTCCACCACCACCACAACGGCCGGAATTACCACCTTCCTTATTACAGCTTTTGTTACATCCTGAATTGCAAATTTTCGAAAAGGGGAAAGAGGAGACTATTGCCGGACCATTGGCCACCAGACGTATGATCATTACAATATTTCCCGTCTGACAACCATTCAAATTGAACAAAGGCAGCAGACGTTTGGTTAACTCCGAGGTGGGACACAGTTGTTCCCTTCTCCCCATACTGTCTTCGTTGCAATCATTGTCCACAATGGCCGGGCATTTTGGTGGCACACCAGCATGCGGCATTGTTTGCAGGTGTTTCCGCAAACCATCTTCCCAATTCGGATTTTCTATTTCAAAACTCTCCATTACCTTATCGAAAAGGCCACGTATCGGCATATCGCTGCAACCGATAAGGAATTTACATTTGTCCGTTTTCTTTTTGTACACATGGAACATTAAACGGTCGGCATCTTGTATGGGACTTTCCAGTGAGAAGAGACAACATTTGCCACATTTCGTTGCACTGGGATCAACGCAGTGACCATATTCCCGATCGCATATCGAGACAAAAACACTATTACGAAATGAAACTTCACAGCAGGTGGGATATTCTTCAGGAGCGCAATAATTTGGTCGTGTCACCAGCAAATCATCGACCACGAATTCGAACATGTACAAGAAATTTTGCGCCATCTTAAAGTCTCTTCGTGATTTCGAGCGAAATTAGCAAAAAAATCTTTATAATTTAAAAATTTTCTATTGACTATTTGAAAAAAAATTTCAGAAATGTTAAATAAAAAATGTACATATTATTATTGATAAAAGGTGCACAGTTTACTAGGAAATTCAAGACTTAAACAAGTATAAAAGATGGCACAGTGTTTTAGCAAATGGTTTATTTTTTGAATAAACGTTATTTTTTTTAATTTTTTTCCAGAACCATCAGAGTCACTAAAACGGGGCTGTTTTAACATAACTTTTTTACAACTATGACAGGATTTTTAGGAACATTTTTCAACGACCTTCAAAATAATTTTTAGGACCATCAAAGCCACTAAAGGGTGGAGATTTGTAATATTTTTCTAGGATTAACAAATCAGTCAACGTATATTTTGTAACTATTTTTTTAAAACTCAAAAGAGCCACTACTCGAGTTCGTTAAATTTTCTTTCAACGACCATCAGTGCCAACAAATGGGGATTTTTTAAATATTTTTCAACAACCACCACAGATACAAAAAGGTGGTTAACTTAAAAACATTTTTTCAACAAACATCTGTCCTGACTAATTATCTTTGAAAAATATTTAGAATTAAATTTTCCCCAGGTCTTAAAAAATCTGTGTTTTGGAGGCCCTGGAGAGTCAAAAAAAGGTTTTTTTTTTAAATATGTTTCAAGGACTATTAATAGCCGTGTTTAATTTTTTTTCAAGAACCGTTAGAACCACAAACCTTGTAAAATCGTATTTTCTTAAAAAAAGGCATAATATTTGAAAGAGTCTGAGATCTATAACTTTAGAAATGATTTTATAATACTGAACTACAAGAATGTAAAATTTTTTACTACGATAAAAGATTTTTCCTTTTCGATATCAAAAGTTCTAAAAATTGTAAATTCTTGCCTGTCCTGATCCCTGAACAGAACAATTATGTTGGGGTTTCAATGATTATTGGTCTGTTCCAGAACTGCAAAAATGTAAAAGTTTTTACTACGATAACCGATTTTCCCTTTGATAGCGAAAAAAATCTAACAATAGTAGATTCTTGAAGGTTCTGGAACAGAGCAATTGTGTTGGGATTTCGACGAGTATGTTATATTTCAGGTCTGACAGAGTTCTTTCAAGAGATTAAATGAAAAACTTCAAAATTTGTTATAAAAATTGCCTAATTTTTTATCTATTATGATTAAATATATAAAAAAAACAAATCTTAAATTCAATATTATCCATTTTTCTTCATTTCTTGTATCTGTTTCAGCAGCAGTTGCATGCGATCCTTCATAAGAGGTTGACCACGTTGCGTCCGCTTGCTAAGTGCCTTTGTACGCTCCAGTCTTTTCTTTTTGTACTGCTTCACTTTCTCTTCTTTTTCTGCTTTAGCTTTGGCCCGTTGCTCCTCCAATTCCTTTTGTTTTTGTGCCCTGGCTTCTTGACGTTGGCGAAATTGTTCAGCCCTTTGCTGTAGAGAAAAAAATAATTGATTAAAATATGATTGTGTTCCATTAAAAGAATGATACATTTATATAAATATGCTGGTCAGAGAAACTGGCAATATTGTCTAAGGATATAGGTTTGTAGACAAGTCTACATAGATTAAGAAATTATCAAGTAGCAGAACGCTTTAAAAATTATCACAACCCAAACCCACAACTGCTGAGAAATTCTTAGACATGTGACAACTGGGGCTGCGTAGCTACATGAAAGATCGATTGCATACCCATTGTGCTGAAATACAACTTTGATACATACCTTCTTTAAATCTTCCTTGGATTTTACAAAGGATCCCTTCCCATGTCCCTTAAGCGCTCCTCCTTTAAATCCTTTAAATGGTGGCTTTGCACCAGCACCACCACCAGAATTGCCTTTATGCTTGATTTTGTTTTGGGATCCAGCATTTGATGCTTTGGGATTTTTTGCATTTACCATAGTGGTAAGTTTATTTAAAGTTCTTGTTCACAAATGTGTCCAATTCAATTCACTTGATCTATCTTCTTGTTAGGAGATTGCACATCTGCTTCTGGGACGCATGGGAAACGTCTATTGTTTACGAATGAGACATGAGGAAAACGCAATCAGCTTGAAGCATTCATTAAATGAGCCGGGGAAATAGTTGCATTATTTAAATGCGTTCCGGAACGATAGAGTGCATTGGAAGGAATCATGTGAACTAGTTCGGTTTCTATCCACCATTTATTTTGTTGATGACAAAGTCAACTGATAAAAAACACTAAAATTGATTTTTGCACAAACTTACCCTACTATGAAGATGAACTTTTTTTCGAACATATTCTACAAATTTTTTTATCATAAACATTTATTAAAGTCATTAAACATAAATAAATCCATGGTACAATAAAAAGGTATGGTAGAGTACCAGCTGATTACAATTTTTTTCTAAGTGTGCCCGATTTCTGTTAATTTTGTGTATGTATTTATTGTTTGGAAAAACAAAAACAATTTTCTTTAAATCAATGATTTTAAGAAACTTGAATTGTGGGGCTCGCATTGATGATTTTAACCAAATTTGCCATGGAATTGAGGGATTGAAGACTTTGGATCATATTTTTGAGAGAAAGTCCAGACATACATCAACGCTTGGGAATAAAAATATATTTTTATAAAAATTTTTGTTTTTTATGTTCTTCTTATTCTAAAACACGTGGAGGCGATCTCAATGAACTATTAGCCCATTTTAATAACTAAAAAAAACTGGGCATCACTGTTTTTTTGGGTCAATTAACTTCAACTTGAAAATGAATTCAGAATGAATAAAAATGATGAATAATTAATATTATCCTTTTCAACCGAAACTGCAGGATTTTTTGATTTTTCAAGGTAAGAATTTCTTTGTTTTTAAGAAAAAACATAATTTTAAAGTTTCAAAATAATTACGTTTTGTTAAAGCCTCTTCATTAAAAAATGAATTATTGTATAACCTGCCTGCTAACTTGCGGGATTTATTGTTTGTTTAGTATGGTAAAAGTACAAATAATGTTTCTTACTGTCTAGCATTCCTCAAAACAGTAAATGCAAGTAATTTCTAAACATTCCAATGATATTTTCAAAAAAAAAAAAAAATAAATTGTCTGTTCCAGAACCTGCAAGATTCTACTCCTTATGCAATTTTCTCCGACATCATAAAGGGAAGATGGGTTATCGTAGTAAAAACTTTTACATTTTTGCATTTCTTTTGCATTTCAGACCATAATATAATCGAAATTCGTATAAAAATGAAAGAAAAGAAGAAAGATCGAAATAACTGGGCGATAAGCAGATAGTCGATCAGAATCCATTAGTTTTCGTATAAGAAAGTAAGTTTTGCAGTTTGAATGCTGTTTCCCCACTTGATGTAGTGCAACTTGCATACTTATTTAGGAGAACACGCGAATTCTTTCACTTTTAACAATACAAATATGACTGAATAAAATGTTGATTTTGAAGGATTAATAATTTTTTTTAATTTTCATTTTTAATAATTTTCCGTTTCCGAGAAAGTAGTGCTGTCGAAGGTAGTGTCGCATTTCGGTTTTTGCTAGTTCCACCTACATACAGGAAAAAAGTTTCGAATAACATATATTTTCGGAATATATGGTCCATGTAAACCTTATCCATCATCGTAGATATCAAATATTGCGTCCCATTAAAATCATATTAATTACATTTGCCGAAATCAAATCCCCGTCTTACTCTTAACAATGTTACTTTTATTTTTCCTGTACGAACAGTTTTTTACGTGTAAATAATGCCTTAGCAATAAAAATATTGCCAACATATGATATTGCATATTTAGCTTATTGTTGTATTACAAATAGGCAGCATTGTTTGATTTTCAACTGGGCACTACTTTCTCAGCGTTTTCTGACAACTTCGACTGATTGGCAACACTTCTCTGCTATTGAATTGTTATGGTTGGAAATATTACATTTGCCTGAATTACATATCCAAAAATATTTTTATAACTAATCATTTTCACGTGTAAACCGTGCCTTAGCACTACAAATATTGCCAATATCAATTTGAAAATAACATAATATGACATTTCATTTTTAAATTGATAGGCAGCATTGTTTTATTTTCATTTGGGCACTATTTATTTGTTTTCCTTTCTCATAGTTTTCTGTCAATTTCGAATGATTGGCAACTCTTCTCAACTCTCCTGGCGTCATTTAAATTTAAACGTCCAATAAAGAAACGCCGCCAAATAATCAGCAGACATTTTATCTGAATTGTTCGATAATTTTAATTAAAAGGCTAATAAATAAACAAAGGGAGAAAAATTTTAGTAAGAAATTGAATGAAACTAAAGGGGAACATGAATACATCGGCACAAAACCAATCACAGTCGCAGCCGCCGCGTAAAACGAATGAACACATTCAGGTTTACGTGCGAGTAAGGTAAAATGCACCACAATCCTTATTATATGGATGTTGTTTTAATAAAATGAAATACTTTCATTTTCTATTTATGTTTTATTAGGCCATTGAATCGCCGTGAAAAATGCATACACTCCACAGAAATTGTAGAGGTAGTGTCACACAAGGAAATTGTGGCTCGTCATTCTTTGGAATCAAAATTAACCAAAAAGTTTACATTTGATCGTACGTTTGGTCCCGAATCAAAACAAGTCGATGTCTATGCAGCCGTGGTGGGTCCCCTCATCGAGGAGGTGCTGTCCGGATACAATTGCACAGTGTTTGCTTATGGTCAAACTGGTACTGGCAAAACACATACAATGGTGGGCAATGAGTGTGCCGAGCTAAAATCCTCATGGGAAGACGTAAGTACAGTAGTTCTTAATAAGTGAAAACATTATGGAAAAAACTGCAAATGAGGTCAGTTTTGCAGCAATATTGACTTTTGATTCCTACGTTGTGTGTGCTCCAGTTAAAAAGTTGTTGGACCAGTATTTTGTTGTTGCACTCAATGTTGGATGCCTATTTTAAAATTAGAATAATGATGAGTCATTTGAAATATATAGATGTTTTTTCTGTTTGTTTTGAAAGGACTCGGATATTGGCATCATACCCCGTGCATTGTGTCATCTTTTCGATGAGCTACGTATGATGGAACTGGAATTTTCTATGCGTATATCTTATTTGGAATTGTATAATGAAGAGCTTTTCGATTTGTTGTCCACTGACGATTCTACCAAAATACGTATTTTTGATGATAGCACCAAAAAGGGTTCAGTTATTATACAAGGCCTTGAGGAAATACCGGTTCACAGCAAAGATGATGTTTATAAATTACTGGAGAAAGGCAAAGAACGTCGTCGCACAGCTTCAACTTTAATGAATGCCCAGTCGTCACGTTCTCATACCGTATTCTCGATTGTTGTTCATATTAAAGAAAACGGCATTGATGGTGAGGAAATGTTGAAAATTGGCAAACTTAATTTGGTGGATTTAGCTGGTAGTGAAAATGTTTCCAAGGCTGGCAATGAAAAAGGAGTCCGTGTGCGAGAAACTGTTAACATCAATCAATCGTTGTTGACTTTGGGAAGAGTTATAACAGCATTGGTAGAACGTACGCCACACATACCATATCGTGAATCGAAACTTACTCGACTTTTGCAGGAATCATTGGGTAAGTTTAAGTTATACCTTTAACAACATACTGAAGTAGGAATACATGTTAAATTATTTATGTATTTGAGTTTTTTTATGTATAAAAAGGCCTATTTTTGAACAAAATATTTTTATGCGATATCTAAAAATCGTTTTTGGCTCTCAAAGACAAGAAATATATTTTATAAAATTCACTAATATTTGCTTGTTGATAAATATTCCTAAAATATTATCGTATATAGTACTAAGCTTTATTAAAATAATATGCTTAAGTAATTTATAGTATAGCACTGAAATTGTTGAATAATATAGTATAAATATACACTGCTAAAATTACTTGTGAGAATATTCCTAAAAATCCCCGATTGCAGAGAGGTGTGTTTAGAAAGTCTTAGTTGGTGCCACAGAATATTTTCTTAAGAATATGTATTGTAACACTTAATTGTAATTCAAAATCAAAATAAATTATTTTCATCTTCCAGGTGGTCGAACAAAAACATCCATTATTGCGACAATCTCACCTGGGCACAAAGATATTGAAGAGACTCTAAGTACCCTCGAATATGCTCATCGTGCCAAAAACATTCAAAATAAGCCGGAAGTTAACCAAAAACTCACCAAGAAAACTGTACTCAAGGAATATACTGAGGAAATTGACAAACTTAAAAGGGACCTCATGGCAGCTCGTGACAAGAATGGTGTCTATTTGGCCACAGAGACATACAATGAAATGACCCTGAAAATGGATTCTCAAACAAGAGAGCTTAATGAAAAAGTTCATTTACTAAAGGCTCTAAAAGATGAATTGGCCTCTAAGGAGAAAATCTTCAATGAAGTTAGCTTGAATTTAATTGAAAAGACTGCAGAATTACAGCAAAAGGACAATCGTTTGAGGTCAACCAAGGGAGAATTAATAGAAACAAAGAAAGTTTTGAAAAATACCAAACGACGTTACAAAGAGAAAAAGGTGTTGCTTGAATCACATGCCAAGACTGAGGAGGTATTAAAAGATCAGGCCACACAGATATTGGAAGTTGCTGATATTGCCACAAAGGATACGGAAGCATTGCATGTAAGTAATGATTTTAAATTGTTTCATCATTCTTTTATTAATTGTACTATTTTTTAGGAAACCATTGACAGACGCAAAGATGTTGATGTTAAAATACAAACTGCCTGTGAACGTTTTACTGAACGTATGAATGAAAACTTTGATCAGATGGATGAAACCCTTAAACAGTACGAGGGAAAACAAATTAGTTTAACTCGTTGCATGGACGAAGAATTGAGTAAGTCTAAACAGAACCTTTTATTTCAACATATTCCTAATATTGCGAATTTTTTACCAGCCAAAACATCCAGTGTTCAGTCAAAACTCATAGACGCCACCAGTGAACAAATCAAAAGTATTAAACAAATATTAGACTCCTACGAAACTTCAATGAGCAGTATGACAGAAAATCTTTGTTCTACCCTCACAAATACGGGACAACAACAAAATACATCAATTATTAATTTCTTGAAACAATTAAAAGAAAAGGAATTACAGTTTAAAACTCAGATAAAAGAAAACTTGGAGGCGATTGAGTGCACGAATGAGCAGCAACAAATAGCCTTAAGTGGTATGCGTGATTCTATAAAGGAAAAACTTGAAGAAAGCAACACCAAATTGCAGCAACACACGAAACGTATACAAACCGAAATGGATGCCATCAAACAGAAAACATTAGAAAATACACAAGAACTACAGAAAATTTCTACAAACCTTACTGAGCAAAGAACTCTAGTAGAAGAGGAACAAAAACTATTGGAAGATTTTCAAAATAAAATGCAAGAATTGCACAAAAAACATACAGCGTGTTCCAATAACATCAATACGAATGTTGAAACTTTGGAAAAGGCCCAACAATTTGTCACCACTCAACTAGAGGGATCATCTAAATTGCAACAAGTCTTTTTGGAAAAGAATGCCAAGGCTTTAGAAAATAACTGTCTTTTAGTCGATAAACTTAGAGATCAAATTGAACTTCACATTGATCAGAATGTTGCAAAGTGTTCCACACTTACCATACAATTAGACAATAAAGTTCAAGAGACGTCTAAAGCACTGGAATCTCAGATTGTAATTGCGGACCAACATTACACACAAACAACGGAAACACTTAAAGAATATGGCCCTCAAGTGAAACGAATTTGTTCGGAACGTAGGGAGCAACATAACGGCAAAACAGATCTCATTCTAAACTCATTACAGAATCATGTCAAACAAACTGTTGAAAATGTATCCATTATTAAAAGTTTCAACTGTTCATTGCAACAAAAATTGAAAGATTATACTAAAGTACATAAAGAACAAATGCAATCCTGTGCTCAAGATGTGGAAACATTCCGTAAAAGTGAAATCAAGACGTACACAGCAACTGGAGCTACGCCTTCGAAAAAGGATTTCAAATATCCTCGAGTTTTGGCAGCAACATCTCCACATTCGAATATTGTTAAACGTTTTCGCCAGGAAAATGATTGGTCAGATCTTGATATGACAATACCATTGGATGAGGTAAGAGAAATGTTGATGAAAAGGCTTCAGGGGCAAAATTTCGAAATTTATTCAATATCGAAATTTATCGTAAGAGTTTAATTTTAGCTTGATTTAATTTGTTAGAGTTGAACAGCGGCTGTTCAACAATAATTTTAACGCTTTTTTTATCAAACACAAAATTTTGATATTTCAAATTTAAATTTTTGACCAAATATTTTTGATGTATTTTAATCTGCGAAAATACCTGAGTATGGTGTCCAAAGTTTCTTGAAGGTGCTTGTGGTTGCACAACGTACCATAGACATTTAGTTGCATCACTATGAGTAATTATTAAATTTTTTTATTCTATCCTTTTTCAGGAAAGTGAAACTGATATTGAAAATTCTATATCGGATACCGAAACAATTTTAAATTCTACACCAGTTGAAACAGAAATCGTGCCACCAAAAAGAAATTCTTATGTAACGCAGAGAAAATCCGATCGCAATTCCAACTTATTAAAAGTGCCACCACAAAGCAACAGTCGTTCAGGATCACCAGCCGACAGTATATCACCACGCAAGGGTTCTTCAAGAACAAATTCACCAGCTTATTTAAAGGTTTGTTTTCTGATGAATTATAACTCAAAGATTTAACTGATTAATTCCATTTGTTGTTTTTTTGTTCATTTCAGCAAAATAAAGAAAATATAACGACCTAATCAACTTGCTACTTAATGCATAATTCTCAAATGTCGTTTTAAGAATTTAGTATTTTTGTTTATTTAATTTTTATTTTTTCTATTGAAAATATCATCAACACGTTTTCGTATAGTCATACTACTGCTTATATATTTTAATTATTCTAATTTAATATAGCTTGTATATAGAAAGAGATTTGGCATACAAGTTTTTAATTTAATCCATTTTACATGATTGATGCAATGAAATGTGTTGTGTAATATGTTCCTTTTCACTCATATATGCATTTGTATTTCGTTTATATTCTCCCTCCTCTCTTGTATGAAAATAAATAGTATTTAAATAAATAATATTTTTTAACATTAAATGAAAATGCATGTACATCAATTACATAATGGCCACTAGTCATCATCGTCATCTTCATCCTTTAAAATGCCCAAACGTCGAGCGACTTCTTTAACATTGGCTATAAATTCTTCTTGCACCAAATTGAAACTCATGGCCAGCAGAGCGATACCAAATAATAAATATAATGAACAATAGGCTATGGACTGTTCTGATTCATCTTTAACACCTTTGGCTGGTACAAAATCACCAAAACCTAAAAGACAAAAATATTGAACATCATGCATGGGAAGCTAGTTTAAAATTGATGTTAGAACTCACCAATTGTTGTTAGTGTGATAAAACAGAAATAGGCCGAATCCAAAAATGACCATTTCTCCCAGAAGGCAAACAATGCAGCTCCTCCCAATATGTAACTAATGACTAGAAAAACGCATAGCCATATCGGCACTGGACGATCTTTGGGCGGTATATCACCATAATAATCACTCATGTCATCACCATACATCGAGTCTTCATCGTAATCATAACTTGGTCGCCTTCGGACTTGTCTTTTGACAGCAAATCCCATGGGAGACATAATTCTTGGTGAGGGTGGTAAACGTTCTGGAAAAAGTTAAATTAAGCGGATTTAAAAAAAAAAGTCCTTTTGTTTGGAGAAAAAAAATATGGAATATTCTTAAAATATTTTTAAAAGCTTAAAACATTTTTTTACATTTTTAATATACAGCTCCTCTTTTTTTGCAATTGCCCCAACTTACCTTGCTTTTCCTTACGCTGTCTCCTCTCCTTTCTTATAGATGATCGTTGATATTCAACATCATCATAGTTCCTTTCACTACCACCACGATCCCTACGCTCCATATGCTGTAGACGCATATATTCATCGGGATCCTCAAGGTATTGATCTTCATATTCTTCATCGTAGATTTCATGGCGTCGTGGCGATACACCACGTTTCGTTCTATGCGGCGAGGTATATTCTGGCAATTCCAAGTGATTACCATAACGAGAGTGGCCATTACTTGGCAGTGGACCAAGTGAGGTTTGTCTGCCAAAACTTCCTCGACGTCCCGTGGGATTTGGCATCGATCGACGATTGGGTGAGCCAACATTTATATGATTTGGTATGTCGTCATTAAAATGTCTAGACGATGAACGATGTGTGGGTGATTGAGGTTGATTTAAAGTGTTTTTGTGAAACGCGGAGCGTGGCATTGATTGGCTTCTCATGTAGCTTTTACTGCGCGATTCTCGGTGTTCCATTTCGGTAATGGCATAACGATTGGATATAATGGGTGTTTTGCGTACCACTTCCTCGTCGACATCTTCGTAATGTTGAGCCGATAGTCGTGGATCGACGGATTTTGCTCGTGTCCTGGCATTTGGGTGAGGCATGGATTTTCCACGCACCATGGCTTGATGGGAATTTAGGCGATTCAGCTCTTTCGATTCTCTTGATTCTCTCGAGATTTCATCCCGCCTCATCTGGGGTGATCTCATTGACCTTACACTCATTGCCCGCTTCGCTGTGGGTGGCATATCATCAAAATCCTCCACCGAATCAAAGTTATGTTTTGATCTGCTCAAATGTCGCTCCCGTTCGACGGTGTGACGATCCCTCATACGATCACGGCGACTTTGGCGGCCACTAAAACGTCCGGGTCTGTTCAGAGTTTGTGTATATGGTGGGGATTCATCGAACATTTGATCATCATCGTAGGGATGTCGTGGTGGTGGTGCAGCCATCATATTTTGATCACGACGACGACCACCCCCACCGCCGGTACGACGATCTGGATAGCGTTCATAGTCAAAATCACGTTCATAACCATTGCGACCCACAGTTCTTAGTTCAGGATCAGAGTAGGCGTGTTGCAATCCCGCCTGTGTGGGCCGCTGCGACATACGCATCGATCTACGAAAGGGTGGTGGTTGCGAGCGGGAGGAATATCGTGGTGCGCGTATTGAACGTTGCCGAGCCCGGCGATTTTTCTTAGAGTTGCGTGTACAAATGTAACAGCAAACACGCCAATAAATAAAGCTAAAATAAATATCTGGATGTTGAGTAAATACTTAAAAAGATTTCCATTTCGTTGATACCTACCGAAACGAAGAGGCCATTACATCGCCAATATTTGAGAGACAAAGCAGCATCAAAGGTATACCGACAATGGCATAAAATATTGTCGTCACCTTACCCCAATCGGTTCGGGGCGATATGTGGCCATAACCTGAAATACAATTGTAGTGATAGAAATATTTAGTAGACATAAGCCAAAAAAAAAAACAGGTATATTATCTCAGTTTATCTCTCAACAAATATTAAAATAAAACACGAGTATTGGTTTTCAACACATATTTTGAAAATATGAAAATAGTCATTTTAAAAATTAGCTATTTTAGTTCCTTAAACACATTTTAAGAATTCCAAAAAAATCATGATTTTAATCCGTTAAAAATATTAAAAAAATAAAAAAATCGCTGCTTTAGATTTTTCAAAAAAATATTAAAAAGTCTTTCATTTCTAGCGATCTGTGCGATACATAAAAATATTAAAGAAATAATTTAAAAAAATCACTAATTTGGGTCTTTCAAAAACATATTCGGAATTATTTCGAAAATTCCCGATTATAAGTCGCTTTAAAATAATATAAAAATATCCATGAGTAAAGGCCGATTGAGCACAAAAGTTTTCTTGAAGAAATAGAAAATCTACGATTTCGGAAAGGATTATCCTTCAATTAAATAATTTTAACAAAATTTACGACTGTGAGATATATTTAGAAAAAATCCGCTATCTTAGGTTCTTAAAATTATTTTAAAATATAAGTCCAAGATTATAGCTCTCATCATCTACAGGGAGAGATGAAAAAACTGCAACCAACTTCAGACTGCTGTTATTTCTAAGCCAATCGTGCGACAGCTGTTAAAATGATTCCAGTGACAGCACATTATATTATCTACAAGCGTTCAAAAGCATTTTGGTGAGAATTTTCCATTAAAAAAGTTATTTGTGATGATATTTGGCTGGGAAACCTCAAGAGGCTATCGTTAGAGCACTCCAGCATTTAAATGTGAATAACTCTTTTGTGTCTCGTAACATCGCTCGTTATCGTGATACTGGTAGCGTAGCCCGACGCCAAGGAAGTAGACGAAAGAAAACAGCAACATCAGCAGAAATGGTTCGAAAAGTAAAGAAGCGATTTTATCGTAACCCGCGTTGCAGTGGCCGAAAAATGGCTCGTGAGCTGGACATATCGCAATATTCAAGTCCGCAAATATTGAAAAATGAGCTCGGGGTAAAGCCATTGAACTTCCAAAAAGTTCAAGAACCTACACCGCAAAAGAAAGAAAATAGACTTAAAGAGCTTAAGAGTTGCTTCGCTTGGCCGAAAGTGGTAAACTGCCGAATTTGGTTTTCTCCGATGAGAAACATTCGTTGTCCTGCAGTTTGTAAACAAACAAAAATATCGCATTTACTTGCCAAAGAGGTCAGCTGAAAATGTGCATCTTCGGTTGGCCACCAGAACTCAAGCGCCGGCCATGGTGATGGTGTGGGCCGCCATAACAGCCGATGGTCGCTCTCCGCTCGTATAAATCGACCTGGCATCAGAATAAATGCCGAATATTACCGCGAAAATATTCTGGAGGGTTTATTAAAGCCTTGGGCACGCAAACATTTTGGCCGCAGACCTTGGGCAATCCAACAGGACTCAGCACCATCGCACTCAGCACGCGCCTTCCAAGAATGGTTACAAAATGAGGTTCCTCGCTTCATTTCCAGCGCACAATGACCACCAAAATCTCCGGATACCAATCCGTTGGACTATTGTTATTGTGAAAGCAAGGTTGGCACTAAAAAATACCAAAGTGTTGATTACCTCAAGCAAACGCTTCGCCGGAAATGGGCCAAAATACCGCAGAGCAACATTTGGGCAGCGTGTGACGGTTTCATTGGCCGTTTGAAGGCCATAATTCGTGCCAAAGGTGACCAATTCCAACAAATCTAAACTTTTTCTAAAATTTGATGATGACTCCGACATTTTTTGCTTTCATTAAAAAAAATTAAAAATGATGGCGTTTGACTTTGTTGCAATTTTTTTATCTCACCATGTATAAAAAATATTTTAAGATTTCAATAAAATTGCTTTGTGATTGCCCATTTTCGCTGAAAGTACTATTTTCTGATGACTCTTGAAAAAACATATTTAAAAAAGTCTACCATTATAGCACTGATTAAAACTATATCTTTAAAATATCTTGCAATTGCGAACCATTCTAATAATAGAACTAAAATTCCCACACTTTGTTGATACCTCATTTTTGCATATCAAAAATATTTCTTTTTTGTTTTCGCCGACAAAATTAAACGCATTTTCATGGTATTTTTGTGCTTTAGTCTACTTTGAAGGCTAGAATCGACACTTATCGCATTGTTGAAATAGTTTTCCCACCCAACCCAAGTTTATTCTACAAACAACTTCCGAAAAAAAGACCTACTCATATCCGCAAAAAAACCCCAAGACAGTCAAAGAGCATGTCATCCATTGTCTTTGTTTTTAGACAACACGACAAATTATCAAAAATTTTCAAGAAAAATAAAAATTAAGCAAATTACTATGGCTCGGCGGTGGTGGCAACTTTAGTACCTTTTATGATTCCTCTAGTTCTCTACTTCATCTTGTCTTGTTCAATTCAACGGTCAATCAACCTGTTGTGTTTCCTATCACGATTTCCATCGCCACAAGATAATTGTGAGAACTTTTTTTGGAGAGTAAATTTGGTAATTTTTTTTATTATTTGATGGTGTAGATTGGAATGACCTTGGCTGTGTGTTTTGTTTCTGGGTTTGCGGGTTGTTTGTTTGGCTCGATTTCATTTTTGGGTCATTAACTGTAACACATTTCAAATGTCAAAATGTCTGTTTCCTTTTGTTTGGGATTTTGTTTTTGGCCATATCAAAAGAATTCTACCATAAAAAATAAAACATCTAAGAAAAATTGCAAAATTAAGTGATCATTCAAG